GCACTTGACAATTCTACATGTCAGTCATAAGTTGGGTCATTGATTGGTCTGACAGGAAGTGCCGGTCTATAGACGGCTGCTCTGAGTGCTATGCTACTGTAGAGTACATGACAGGCTGACCTTTGATGTCTCCATTTTCTTGTGTTAATTCCTGTGGGCTGCCAATTGTGAGTCACACAGTGGCAGTTAAAAGCAGAGGCATTTAATATAAAATCACAGCTGCTAAATATAAAAGTAAATGGTATGCTGGCGAGTCAAGACAAGAAACCGTGTGTGTGTGTGTGTGTGTGTGTGTGTGTGTGTGTGTGTGTGTGTTAGCTTTAATGAGATTGAGTTTACTATTTTAAAGTTACCATATCCAACTCTGTAACATGAGGAACATGAGGACTGAACTAGAACTACCCCAGTAATGTAGTTGGATGCCTCCGCCAACCAGTTAAGTTGCAGTTTACATCCATTTCTGTCCTGACTCCTATAATATATGTAGGGAATAATTGGACAGAGAATTGAAAAAAGGTATAAAATGTATTCGGCTAAATGTAAGTTATCACTATATTTATGATACTGTACATACGTGAAATTGCAGTTAAAAACTGTTAATGAAGGATTATCATGGACATAATGTATAAACAATTCAATTAAATTTTCAATTCAATTTTATTTATATAGCGCCAAATCACAACAACAGTTATCTCACAGCACAAGTACACAACAATTTGATTACTATGTAAAAATGGATCATTATAGAGTATAGGTTTACAAAATTTGCTTTCGTTCTCTCCTTACATTTCGCCATCGCGGAGGCATACAAAAAAATGCAAAAAAAAAGCTGGTTCATAAATGTTATCTGGGATTTGACATACTGTCCTGGGATAATTCAACAACAAAAGATAGAATTTGAATAAAATTAAGCAAAAGCAAAACATTAACCCTCAAGTGTACAGAGATGCTGTGGCATTTCTACTTGAATCCTACTTACTCTTCCAATGTCTAACTGGAAAGTCCAATAGGACTTCCTAACAGAGGAAGGGTTTTGCTGAGCAAGCATGCCCTTTTCAGCACCGCCCAGCATCACATTCATCTAGTCACATCATACACATCCACACCTGGTAGCTGGCCAGCACAATATGGCCTTCTATGGTTGGCAGCTTTTAAGAGTAATTTCAAGTTAAGTGATTTGCTGAAGGGCACTTCGACAATAGCTGCTGAAGGAAGAGAGAGATTTCTTTTTCACTTTTTAAACTCTTGAACACACTAAAAATCACTGCAACAATTTAGCACCAATGTAATACTACAGGAGGTTAACTTTACCCAGTACTGGTTGTTTTGACCCATTACTAGCTATTTATTTTTTATGTTGGATTATTTCCCCAAATTAAAAAATTTTTACTCTGAAGTATCAGTGCGCAAATGACATTCAAACTTAAAAGGATTCACATATTATTAACAATCACATATAATTTTAAAAAGAGTAGATTATAACAGTTCACAACCATACCATATTTTAGTTTATGTAGTAACCCAACAGCAATAAAAAAAATATCTTAATAGACCAGTGATAACAGCATGTGAGTCAGTAGCTCCAAAGAAGATCAGTTGTGGAGGTGGACCACATTAATATTCTGTGTGACTACCCAGCCCCATGGTGTTCATGGACAGAGGAGGGCCAAGAATTGATTAGCAATTAAAACCCTTGACTTGGTCTTTAATGAGCAAGTGGAAAAGAATTCTCTGTGCCAGCCATTTGTCCAATTTCTTTGAGCAGTTTCTTCCTGGGGTCTTAGGATTTGTATTACGATGAAAACAATGAGAATATTCAGACATGGCTTTTGGCATATTAGCAAACAGGTGAAACGTATCAGATAATGCTTTCTCTCTTCACACAGCTGTACTGTGTAACATGGGTTGTTGTGGATATTTCTGTATTCCTGCTTGGATGGTCTTGGCATAGTCGAGACTGTGCTGTGACACATAGGCTATGGTGTCAGGTATGCGTGGGCTGGCCAGCTACTGTCAGCTACAGTAACACCCATCACAAACTCTGCATAAGGAGAAGAAAATATACACATACACTCACTGTGTGTAGGTGGGACTCCAGAGCCAGGTGCTAAATAGATGGTAAAGAGCATCTAAATGAACTTACAGCTCTGTATTGTTTGGGTCTTTTACTATGTACTGGGACTTAATATCAAGGCCAGCTTTATGAAGAAAAAATGCTGTTTAAGGAACATGGAGTCAAAGAAATGCAGAATATTATAATAAACAAATTATACTTTAAATACATGACTACTAATAGCCACATAATTTTCACACGCACAACAGATTCAATTAATGACATAAAGATAAGAGTGAAAGTCAAATCTAGCAATCAATATCTCAGATTTCCTGAGCGGGTGGTCAGTTGAGACCCTCAGCAGACACAGAGTCTCCAGACAGCAGAGGGCTACAGAGCTGAAGCCAGCATATGGCATCTGCTTTGACGCTGATGAAATTATGGAGAGTGGCAGCAAACCCCAAGAGGAACAGGGGTGCCTGAAGTCATGCATCTAAGTGCTGCTGGACAAACCCCATTTCCTCCCTCACTGGAGTCCTCCTTATGACATTCACTATCCTGACAGCGGGTGATCAAAATAACACTTATTTATTTATGCACACTTCCAGGAATCACATGTGAGCTAAAGAAGCGTATATTCCTGGAAAAAACAGACAGACTAAAAAATCACTCAGGCATTGTGACATTGAGTTTCTGGGCAGTGTGGAATCATCTGAGAGCTGCATGGTGTAACTGAATAGCATTTCTTTCATATAATATGTTGAATAGTTTAAAAAGAATGGTTATAGAAAGACAAAACATTGACTGGTGAGTATTAAATTGCGCTATTAATCACTCAATCATTATTCAGTTGTTGATATTGGATATATTTAGATAGCCCAATATGTAAATCTATGCATCAACCTCCTACTTTTGGACAACGATTTGAATTACAACGGGATTACTTGAATCTTTGGGATTGTTGCTGTTTAATCCTGAGATCTAAGCAGAGATGTTGACATAACATTTCTTGTGAAATTTATGCATATCAACAGTATGTTAACAGATCCTACAAAAAAAAGGTGCTGACACATTTGGCTCAGGCCAAGTCACCTGAGTGTGCATTATGTAACAGATGTATATTGTGGACCTATATATCGTAGAAGATATACTTAGGGGAAGATAACTCTTAATTCAAATAACAGGGGAAGATAACTCTTAATTCAAATAACAGACAAGGACCACATTTGTTGTGTTGTATTGTGTCATTAACGTACATTTTTTGTTACTAGTCTGATTGATGCTGTGTACAAAAAGTTCAGTAGTCTCAGCTGTGCACTGGTAGTACAATTACTATTTTGAATACAGAGGTATTTCAAGATTCATGGCCCCTTGTCTCCCCTCCATTATCACCTGTCATCATTGTATTTTAAATTCCAATGATGACAGGTGAGCAAACAGACTTCAAATAAAAAGCAGAAAAAAGTCTGCAGAAGCACAGTTACAAGTTACAAGTTACAATGCTTAATTTGCTTATAACACTTAAAGGTTACATCAGTTTAGGTTGTTTATGTGTGCATGTTCCTACATGAAAGCAGGGAGCTTGTTTCTATGCAACTGCACATGCAAATCATGCCACAGGAGAATAAGTAATGTATTAATCATACTAACGTGATCTATATACTGTAGAATCAATGAGCTGCAGTTTAATATCAAATGTAAACATCTATCAAATGCAACACTAAAGTTTTTGTAGGTGGCATCATTTTAGGCATTTAATACAATTTTAATCAGGGTATTTAGATTTTTCTGTTGCTGCGCCTTGACTGTAGAATAGCCTCCAAAATGGTCTCAGCACACTTTAAAAAACATATTTAAACTTTAAATTCTCTTGTTTCATTTGACCTTTATAGATTTTATAACTTTATATTTTGAGGTGTCCACGTTTCTTTTTTTCTTTCTCCTGTAAAGCAATCTATTGGAGAGTGTTATAAAAAAACAAACAGAGTTTGATAATACTGTTACTGATGAATTAGCCGTTGTTTGAGTCAAGGTCGCCAGATTTTGATGGTTACGGGCAACTTTGCCATTTCTTCCTCATTATGATTAGACATTATTAAACTAAACATATATCAATTGGTTAAGTACTACTAATAATACTGGATAGTAAATTTTTGCTGTTAGTTACTGAGTATTATGATCAAATATTCTGGGATTTAAAACAAGGAACCATTAGGGCATTTTTATTAAGGAGAGTAAAGTTGTGTCCTGCCATTCAGTTGGAGAGAAAGAGAATTCAGATAGGTTTCCAAGTCATTAAAAGGTTTTATGCTGCATTCCTAATAAATTGTTTGACAATGCTGACTTGGCAATGCTTGACAATTTTCACCTCTACCACCCTTCACCACTGTCCACAGTGATAAGCTGTTGCTTCCCACACAGTATAATGCAGGGAGGTGGAAGGATTATTATTTCTCATTAATCAGACTCTGTAAGCTGAAGGAGCTGACTCCATATAGAAGGATACCAAGAGAAAGAGGTGGAGAGGTAGAATGAGGCTTGGTTCAGTAATGAGTACCCCCCATATCATGTGGTGGTCAGGACAGTCACCATGGGACTAAGACAAAATAACACACAGCACAAGACCACCAAACAACTTTAATAATGCAGAGTTTGGCTCTGTACTACTGTTCAAGCTGTCAATCTGATGTGCAAGAAACCATGTTTGTCTAATCCAACAAGAGGGTTCTACACTCCAAGGAATATTAATGAGATTTTCACATCTTGTCTCCTCTTGAGGGAGGACAGCTACAGAACAACAAACAGTGAACCTTTTCAAATTAACACATGCAGTCTAAATCCTTTGATTTTCCTTTTAGCAGCATTTTGTTCTACTGTGACTGACCATTAAAACTGTCGGAAAAACAAAACTGGAAAATTAATCAACATTAGGGGAAAAAAGACTTACCATCAAATCTTTTATGTCTGGAAACAAAGGTACTTCTCAATTCATGACTCATTTCATCAGCCAGATTCTCAAAGTCCTGTTTACTCTGTTGGCCAAATTTGTCCTCCATTTCCTGGGTGCAGCATGTGTTTCCCTGAGGACATACACGAAGATGTTCACCTGCAAAATAGACAGAGGACAGTGTTTTTGTATCCATACCAAAAGTGACACTGACTATAACAATCTTAATAAGAGTAATTAAAATAAACTTTTGAAATTCTTCAAACACACACACACACACACACACACACACACACACACACACACACACACACACACACAGTCTTCCTTATTTTAGGTTAAATTTGATTAAAAATAAAATAAAACAAATTCAGTTAAACTAAAATCCAGCGCACTCACTCCAGCAGGTAGTGTGCATAAAATAAAACTAAAGCAACAGTGCTCATTTTTGACACATAATCATGTCGACTGATAAGAGTATTTAACTTCTATGTTCTCTCATATACTGTCGTTGTCTACATATTACGAGAAAGTTGTGCAGGATTGCAGTTCCAAAATCCCAATACCAGGTCTTAATTAACAGCAGTGCATTTAAAATGATGGTTTACTAAGCTTCGCCCCCGCTCCCCAGTTACTGTTGTTGTGTGTGTATGTGGTAGAGAATTCTTAGCATAATTTGTTCTTTTTTTTTTCGGTAAGGTGCTGTGAAAAAACACTTAGGTGTTACGCCTATGTGTTATAATGGTAGGGAAAACCATGTAATGTGCATCGTGTACAATGAGCCTGAGCTTCCAAACAGACAAGCAGCTGTGAGCAGATGGCAGCTGTAAAATGTTCCCTGCATGTAGCAACAGATTGCACAGCATCAGAATCAGTGAATGGATTTCATTTTGTGGGAACCATAATGAGTGAGCAACAATGTGATATGACCACAAGATCATTTTGCACATTGGCATCAATAAATTGTGACATGAGATAACCTTTTAAAAACACCCAGAATTTGAAGTTTAAATTTTTTTTATGGCCGAGTAAGAATGTGCTCCAACGCTTCTCCACTAAACTCCACTACATATATTAATATAGCAGCTGGATTTACCAAACAGTACACACTGTTGCAGTACACGACCACCAAATAATTCTCACTGTCTCAAGAAAGAATAAGCACCACGAGGGAAGCAGCAAGTCAACAAAACTGATTGACAACTCTATAGCTGGCCTAACAGGTGAAATGGCAGAGCTAAACATTGGGGATGCCGAGGTGAAATCACTCCAGGCGGAGATTATGGCTAAATTCCATGCAACAGCTTTAAATATGCATGCTCGTTATAGACAGAGCACTCCGCACCCTCGCAGCCAAACCGCTTCCAAGGAAACCTCCAGCAGCTATGTTAGCACAGCTTCACTATTACCAGATGAAGGAGATGATTCGCCATGCATCCTGCAAATGTGGACAGATGTCCATATATTTTCAGATTACTCTGCTGCATTTTTCCAGACCACTATCCAACCTACGACTGAACGACCAGTCAACAGATAATGTAGCTTACCTACGGATTTTTAGAAATGACCATGGTTTATGTAACTGTAATATATAGCACATCATATTTTGTGGGGCTTCTGGTGTCAATAGGGCATAGGTCTGGGCAATAAAACAATAATGATAATTATCACAATACAATTTTCCTCAATAACAATATAACAAAAGTTCAATATATTGTCAATAAATGTTTGATTTAATTAATTTGAATCACGAATGAATTAGCACTATTTTTCTAGTAGGATATTGATTTTGTTGAGGAAAAGGGACTGAAAAAAAGATTAACTTGAAAAAAGATTCTATCATAATTGTTTTGAATGTTCTACTTCAGATTTGCGAGCCACTTTTTGGCAACCACTTGTTTGACCAAGCTCTGGTCTACAAGGCAGTTGCCCACACTTTGATATGGTGCAGAGACCTGGACTACCTACACTAGGCATCCAAGAGTCCTGGAGGCCTACCACCAGAGATGCCAGTGAAATATCTTGCATATCAGCTGGAAAGGAAGTGCACTGACTTCAGTATTCTTGAGGAAGCAAACATCGACAGTATTTCCATCACCATCATCAAACACCAACTAAGATGGACAGGCATGTAATATGAATGCCTTACACATGCTTCCTAAAACAGTCCTCTACACAGAACTTATGCTGGCAAACGAGCATCCAGAGGTCAGAAAAAGTGGCAAAAAAATCCACATAAACTCTAACTGGGAAGACCTCTGTGAGCAGATGGCAGGTAAATTTACCCCCGCACACAGCAACAGATAGATTGCACAGCAGCAGAACACAGGGGCGCTGGAAGTCAGACACAGTTGCGGTTGCTGAGAGAAGGTCAGTCTATTTTATGACATCATTCTAAATGGTGTGTGATGTTTGTGTTTTTGTATTAATTTGAATATCCAGGATAACTTATATTTAATAGTTGTTAAAATTAATTTACAACAATTTGAGAACATTTTACACCTCAGCAGACAGCAATCCTGAACACCAACACAGTCAAAGTAGTCACAGCAACTACACAGTCAACATGGAACTACTGCATGAGAAATGCAAGGAGATGAAGAGGGAGAGACATTGCGTGGACGAGATAGATATGTGACCCAAGACCATTTCAGCTGATAATAATGCAGCACAATAAGGATACAACACAGATCTATTTCTCTGTCACTGTTAACAGAGACTCCAGAGACTTAGTGAGTACCATAACAAGTGAGCAACAATGTGATACAAGTACAATGGTGACGTGAGGTAACCTTTTTTTTTTTACTGAATTTATGTAATATGTCATAAGCAAACTGCAACCAGCACAGCCATGTTTACACCAGCCAGCATCCTTCCAAACACAGAGATGGAGAGATGAAAAAGTTCCAACACTTTTCCATAGTCACTAGCTTTCCGTGGACAAAGCATGTCAAGTAAAAGAACTTGCTTCTTTTATTTATCTTAATATTTGATGACAAAACATAATAGAAACACTGTGTGCAATGCTGCTAATTTAAAAGATGTTCAGTAAGTATAGCAAAGTTTGTATGCATGTGTGAGCTTTAGTTGTTGGCTACATCAACACAGGCTGTAAAATAAAAACAGTGCAGTTAATGCGCAGTTTTCTCTCCATAAACTGAAAATAAATTTTACTGTTCAACAGACAGATTAAAAATGGCTTGTAGCAAGGGAACATATTTCTTTGTGTTGGGCACAGAATGAAAGAGAAGGTGGTAAAAAAAAGTTTAATTCTGATAACACTTGTCATACACACTCAAGCCCAGTGTTTCTGCTGGTAATTTATCCAAGTTGCACTCCACTATGCAGAATGCAGATGACGCTATAGTAACATTGTATGAAGAGGGATATTTTGTTTATCTTCTGAGACAGCAAACACAATACTTTCAGTAACTGTTATGCTTAAATAGCCATGTTACGGCTGACTAAAGTAACTTAACTAAACATACACTTTCTGTGACTTGGCAATGTGCTAGTACTTCTCTCACACACACAAATAACACAAATAACCTGCTAGTTTATGTCCCATACACACAGGTTACCCAAAAGGCTACGTTCCTTGAAGGGGGAGGTTCAGCGGGTTCAAAAATAACAAAGTTTTTATTCACGTTGATAGACAGAGAGGGCAGTGGTGGAGGAAGTACTCAGATCGTTTACTTACTAAAAATACTAAACATAATCTTGTTATAAGTAAAAGTCCTGCATTGGAAATGTTACTTAAGTAAAACGTTGTCAGTATTATCAGGAAAATTTACATAAAGTATTAAAAGTAAAAGTACTCAATGCAGAAAGATGCCAAACCCAAAATTATTAACAATAAATTAAAAAGATTAAAAAGAAAAGCAGCAAATCTTCATATTTGTCAAGCTGGAACTCTGAAATGTTTTTACATGAGAATTTATAAAAAGAGTTGATACCCCCAGTAACTTTGCCCCTCAAGCAAAATAAAAATCAAGTACTTTGGGAAAACTACAAATGCACACGGCATCACCCAGATCTACTTTCATGCCATAATTTTCCACACTGCCTATTTTAGCACACAGCGGACTGGAGTAGATCCAAAAACTAGCACCCCATGTACTGAACCGAGAATCAATTTTGAGTACAAAATCATTATTAAGCGTGACCCCAAGAATCAAAATTAAAACGAATCGTGAGATACACAAAGATTCACACCCTTAATTTATACACAGTATAATCGAGCACCTCCACAAATAAGGCTTTGATCTTAGACGATAAATATATCATTGGAGCATGCAGGTGGACCTCCCATTGCAGATGTTTTGATGAATAAGTCTTATACCTCCATGAAGCTCAGAATTCCAGCATCATAGGCCCACTCTTAATACACTTCCTCCACTGATCAGACCTACACTGACTGAAAATCAGGTGAAATGTGTATTTTAAATCAAACATTTATTTCAAAATAAAGCTATAAAAAACATGGTTTTAGCAACTTTATTAATATCACACGATGTCTACTGGCAGGTCCCGTTGGCATACACATTCTGAGTGCAGCCTTTTTATCAGATATGTCAAGAAAAAAAAAATCCATCTTGACATGACAAACCTACTGTGTGCTGCAGCAGTCTCAACAGAGCTAAACATCACAAGCCTGTCGTACATCAACATATGGGAAGGAGCTTTCAAGGGACTTCACCACTCAGCAAAGTGCCACGACCTTCCTTGCCAAGGTTAAAACAGCAGCATGGCCTCACAGATAGTCTATCTACTGGAACACAGACCTCACATTAGCAAGAGTCAGGATGAAGTGTGGACCAGACAGGTCTTTTCAGCAAAGGAAAACCGACAGAATGTATTGTACTATCATATAAAGATTTGATAGGAAATCAACTTATTTGATTGATATTATTTAGTGATACTTTGCATATTTATTACAAACCCATAGCAACAACAAACTGATTAAACATCAAGTGTGTGATCTTGTGGCAACTACAAAACCTCAACAGTGTTTTTCTAGATATGTTTACTAGTGGGCTGCTTGTAGTTCAATGCCATTCATCTCCAGACATCATCTGATGTATAGCTCCTGTGCGGCCACATTACGTTAAACAGTGGCCATCCATCATGATGCCGGCTTGTCAGTTTCAGTGAATTAA